AGTTAAAATTACTATTTATATTATTCATGGGTGTCAAAGATTATATCAATTCATAGTTAATTAACTTCAGAAATATTGTAGGGAATTTACAAAATGACAAAATTTTTCAGCCAAAGATAGTGATATTTATAAATATAGGTTGAAATATCTCTGTGTTGATTTATTCACAATATTTTATTTGTTTATTCATGCATTTATTTATTTATTTATTTATTTATCGATTTATTCATTTAATGGGTTCAGTACAGGGCAGCTCACACTCGTAGTGATCCTCCTGTCTTCAGCCTCCCCAGCTCTGCGATGACAGGCATGCACTACCACGCCTGGTTTTCGTGGCCAGCTCCGCGCATCTGGGGTCAGTGATGGCATGGTTTGTGGTTCCAGGGATTGAACCCGGCCCCTGCTCTTGATTAAGCAGGCATTTAGGCTGCTGAACTATTTTGCTGGCCTTGCAATTTTTAAATTAAGTATCAATATAAAATTATAAGGACCAGCCAGATAGCTGCTCGGATTAAAGCACCTGATTAGGAAGACACAGGGGCCTGGAGTTTAATCTCTGGCCTGCCCTGCTGGCCTTGCCCCCGGGACATGCTGAGAAAGTTGTGACTGAGACTAGGCATGGTGGCATGCACTCACCTACAGTCACAGCACTTGGAAGGCTGAAAAACAGGAATGATCACTACGAGTCTGATGTGTGTATTAAGACCCTATCAACCCTGTACTAAATACATAATAAATAAAACTATAATCAAAATATTTACAAAACAGTATTGAATATATCCTTTCTATTATTATGTGTTATTATTATGATCATATTAATATTTTTATACTTCATGACATTTACTTGTAAGACAATTTTAGATAAGTAATTTGCAGATTTACCTCATATATCAAGACCTGCATACCTTCTTAGTTTTGAAAATTCTAAGGGGGTTGGTGACTTTTGGACTTTTATTTCAGTGTTATGTTCTGGTTTTTTGGTACCAGGGATCGAGCTTAGGACCTTGTGCTTGCTGGGCAGGCGCTTATGCTTCTGAGCTATATCCCCAGCCCCTAGTGTTACATTCTTAATCAAATATATTCTGAATTTTGGGAATGAGGGCTGGGCATCAGCAGTCACAGAATTTTTAGTAATAAGAAAAAAGCATCAATTCATGCACTCAATAAATGTTTATGGAGAACCTCTTGGGGACACAGTAGAAATAAATACATACAGTGATCTTGTTTTAATGTATTACATACTTTAATGACAATGTCATCAAGAGGAATTTGTCAGTGACACATTTGAACAGAGCTGTTCATATTTTCAATATTTGAAGATACATGAGCATTTTTTCCAAGTCACACATGGCTAGTAGGTTGTGTACATTTATAGTAATTAATAACATTTACATTTCCAAATGAGTTGTGAGCTAATTTTAATAGGTTAAAATTGCTGAAACAAAAGCCTGAGAGAAGTACTTCCAGAGTGGAATCATAAAATTTTAATTACTGTGAACTAAGATGTAACTACTTCAGTACTCCACCATCACTAGAAACATACAAGACAATAAAAAGATTATTAGTTATGGTGGAAATTTGCATTGTGTGGCCAACCTTAGATTATTGGGCTACTTTACAGAGATTGAGATCTGTTTACAGGAATTAGTTCTACTTTGAGGAAAAAGCCATATGTTTTATTCCCAGCATATAAGATAATATTTGAACAATATACAAACATTGATTTAACTGGTTGTTTTTACAAATAACCTATAAGGAGTATTGTAGAGTGATAACAATGTGGTTTTTATGAAGAGCAGCCATTTAACTTTTCCAGATTCATTTTTGTTTCTTTGCACATAATACTTCCCTCTGAGAATTTTGATGTCTTTCTTTGCTTTTAAAGATAAAATGCAATGCAATGTAACATGTGAAAGCGCCAACCACCTGTGGCATATTGCATGTGCTTAGTGAATATTAACTTGTGTATTGTTTCTGCAGTCTTTTAATGGTTATATTAATACTGTAAGAGTATTCTTACTTATAAAATATAGTTCATTACTTTTAAACAGCATGTTAGTATTATTGAAAATGAACTGAAAGGCAATTATTACCTTTCTTGGAATAAAGTTAATGCTCTAGAAAATCACAAATTGATGCTGACATTAATTTAAGTTGACAAAAATCTCAACATAAATACAAACTCCTATTAGTGTTGAAATTTGTTGAGCTAAAGCACATTGCTCTTTGTCAGTTGGAAGGATACCACAATAAATAAATACTTGAGAAGATATAAAATCCCACTATTAACAGACAAACAATTATATTTAGGAATTTCTTATATTAATTGGTCTCCTACAATGACTCATTGAGGGCCAATTACTCTGTGTGTATTGCCCAGGAAGTAAGGAACAAAAAGAACATTGATCTCAAAGGAAGACTACTTTTTGAAAAGGGTAAACTCTTACCCGTGATTTCTAAAATAATTTTCTGGATCTTGAGGAAGAGTGAAAAATAAATGAACACAATGAAAAAGTGAGGCAGCAGGATGTGAAAAGTTAAGCTTCCCCAGTGAGACCCTGTCCTACCTTACCGACTGACCCACAGACTCTGCCCAAACATCGTTTTAGCAAAGACAACCCATCTTTTAGCCCAGGAATTGCATTGAATGTCAGGTCCTGTATTTTTGTATATCCTCTTATGTTCTGCTGTTTCTCAAAAAACTATGTTGACTGTAAAGCCATATAATCACTGGAAAATATTAATCTCATTCTGATACTAAATCTGAGTAACGTCTATTTATTTTTTTTTCAGTAATGTGGAGACTAATCATGTCTAGCACATTAGGAGTGAATCAGAAAATGTGCATGAGCCATTCTTTGTATAAGATATTGACAAACACAGAAGGAGCATTCTAGTGCACATGGAAATAGGAAAGCACACGGTCATTTTTGGCTTACCAGAAGATTTTTTTCTCACTTTCAGATCCATCCATGTGATTCTGGTCAAGCAATCTTCCTTCAAGCAGGGATGTAGGTCCTCTGTGCTGGGCTGTGGGTGGGGGACAGAAAGTGTGAGAGAGTTCACTCATCGCCCAACCATTGCAGGCTGGAGAAGATATCTCTCTTACTTCCACTCACACGCTGTTGGTTCAAACTGTGGCTCCAACCCACCCACTGCAGAAGGCATCCAAACAGGCTGATGGGCTCTGTGTAGGAGAAAAACGACACAGGCTTTGGTGAGCATAGCAAACCCTACTTAAGGCTTGGCTGCAGACAGTGATTTTCTTTCACTTCTTTTGGGGTGATGTATGTACTGCAAACATGTACTAAAAAGTCAAATATTCAAAAAAATTAAAAAGTACATGTTTGCAGTACATAATGATTGCATTCACTGCATGGAATCAGTACTTAATATATTTCAGTTCCTCTTTGTATTCTCTTTTCTACCCTCTCTTTTGTTTTTCACACTTCCATTTCATCTCTGTATCTTGTAAGGCCTCACGAAGTTAACTACCCTACACACAATCTGAATATAAGATTGAAATACAATAATAACATACCACATATCCTCGTTACTTTTCTCTCATTGCTGAGGCAGAACACCCAAAACCTAAATTAAAGAATGAAGGATTTGTTTAGCTCTTAGTTTGTGGAGGTTTCTGTCCATACTCATTTAGTTCCAAGGCAGAGTGACACGTGGCAGAGGACAGCAGTTCACAGCAGTGGAAAACAACAACAACAGCCAGAGCAAAAAGGAGGAGCAGCGGAGAGCAAGCCTCTTTTTCTCCCTTATACCACATGCAAGCTGCCCACCCCGACGGCTGTGGCACACCCATAATCTCAGCGTAGACTATGGGTCAATCATAAATGCTAGAAGCCTGCTCCATGACTGCTTGAGGCTTTGGAGGGCCACCCAGTCTAGACACAAACCAAAACTCCTCCTAGGAACATGGTCTGATTCAATGACTACATGCACACTTAAAATTACTTATTGGAGCACCTTTCCTGAATTTCAGTTTTTTTTTTTTTTTTCTTTATACTGGGTCATAGGTCTTCATTTCATTAGTTATTTCTTTCTTCATCTCTTTTTGTTTTCAAAACATTTCTGTTACACCTTTCCATAATGCTTTACAGCGTTAATCTTGTAGTTTATACAGTAGTTTTAATTGCAATGTCCTCTATTTGTTTCTGATAAGTAATATTTGGTCCTAAGATTGAGGAGTGAATTGAGCACCTGTAATGTGTTCATTTTCACTCTGTGTGTCATTCCCTTATATAACTTTTAATTTATATATTAATTATTCAGTCAAAACACGTTTCACTATTCTTGGTTTATACTTTTAGGAAAAGATAGAGTCTATTCTATTTCTTTGATTTTTGGGATATGCACATGAAGATTTTCTGAGATAGAAAGGAAAATTGTAATTCCAAAAGATTATCCTGTCCTCAGATGCGCGGGATAGCGTCAGATGATTCCCATGCACTGACGTTTGTGCATGCTCCCGCCTCCATGTGTGGGCCTCCGGAGCACCTCGTTGCTTTCTACATTAGTTATGAGCAGACAAGAATGTTTGTGTTTTGTCATCTTTAAATGCATAGAAAAATCTTTGTGCGCTTCTAATTTACACTTCTTTGTTTTATTTTCATTTTGTTTTATTGAGCATTGTTTTATTTTCAACCCTTAATATTTTTATTTTTTGAAGTACTTGCTTACTCCTTGATCCCATTTTTCTTATTGGATTATTTTTTCTTATTAATTTGTAAGAATTTTAAGTGTCTAGTAATATTTATTATATTATTAAAAATATCTTCTACATTTTCTTCCTTATCTTTTTCATTAACATCATATGAAAAAAATCATCAGATAACAGAAGTTTTTAATTATTTGTTTTGGGCATATTTTCGTTGCCTCTTCTGTCTTCATCCTTTAGTTCTTCCCCAAGTGTTTTTACATAGTACCAGCAAGATATCTTCCTTCCAAGATCATCAGTTCTTTTGTGGTTGTTGGTTTTTTTTTTTTTTTATATGGTATGCGTCACGAATTTGCGTGTCATCCTTGCGCAGGGACCATGATAATCTTCTCTGTATTGTTCTGATTTTAGTAAATTGCTGCCGAAGCAAGCACAATCATCAGTTCTTACATTCAATAATTCGTGTTATCATTCCATGGTTAGTAATAGACTATACATATAAATATAGAAGGGAACTTGATAATTGTATCCCTCTATTTAAATTGATCGTTGGCATGCTTCTGATCAGGTTTGGATTTCACTTTAAATATTAACGATATTTTATATGAAATAGTGGTTCACAAAATATTGGAATTCTTGACACCTTTAGCATCTCCGGAATTGATTTTCATACAACATCTAAATCAAATCAGGGCCAGCCAAATATCTCAGCGGATGAAAGTGCCTGCAAGCAGGCTCAGGGGCCAGGGGTTCGATTCCCGGGCCTGCCCTCCCGGCCCTGCCCCCGGGGCCCACTGAGATGGCAATTGAGACTGGGCGAGGTGGTGCACGCCTGTAATCCCATCGCTTGGGAGACTGTAAACAGAAGAATCACTACAAGTCCGATCTAGTAGTGAGACCGTGAATGCCCTGTAGACCCTTCCCTAAAATACAGAAAAAAGAAATCAAATCAAAACAGCAAAGTTCAAGGCCAAGTGTTAACACTTAGCAAGATCTCAATTTTATAGTTGCATTTTACCTGGTATCCTAGAGATGCTGCCTTTTTCTCTACATTAAAAAATGTCCTGTGCTTAGTTCCTAGGGGTGCCCAAAGTTCTTAGACACTTTGGGGACTGCAGTTTTATTTTTATTATATTTTAAATGTTGAAATATTTATTTTGCCTCCCCATCTCAGGAGTGTAGCTGCGTGGTGAGGGCCCTGAGAGGCGGGAGTGGGACTTGGGAGGTGGGCTGCACAGAGCCCCCCAACCACGAAGCAAAGGGAACAGGAAACAGAAATGCAGGTTGTCATAAAGCCAGAGGAGGTTACAGCACGAGAGAGAATTTTATCTTTTGCAGTTATTTATTGACCTCTAGAGATCAACTTTGTTTCCCATTAAGGTGCTACCTCTGTGCCCCATGCTATCACCTTTGTCTGTAATTACCTTTAATTGAGGAAAATAAGGTGTTTGTTAATGTATTTAACAGCTAAGAACATAACAATGATGACTTAAATTATGATAATTTTTAACTGCTAAAGATTAAAAGGAAAATAAAATGCTGAAAAAGAGAGTGGCTAAAGAATAATTAGCAGGGAATAATGGAATGATTGCAGAGGGTCACTGGGATCTGTGCCACTCTGTAGATAGAACCCTCAACCTATGTAAGAACATGACGGACATAGTGCAGACTTCACGTAGCTTTGCTGCTGAAGATCTTATTTCTTGGCCTCTTCAGGGACACACGAGACATTGTGATATGTTTGCTTCCAGTTTCTATCTCCAAGGATGATTTTATTTTTAAAACCCATTATTTCCCTTTTGGGATATGGACTGTCATTTTATAACCACTTCTCTTAATGAATATACTTCTGGGCAAAAAGTGTGAAGGACATTAAAATATAGAAATTTATAATAAAGAAGTATGTATACATGATAATTAGCTATGTGGAAACTACATGTGAATATAAAAGACAATTTTAAGGTATTCTGGAATAGACTAAGTTTCTTTGGTAAATCTCACTGGATGCTTACCTTGATTTCCTCGTGATTTTTATTTCTTCTTAAAATATACAGAAATGATCAGGCTATTCACAGAACAGAATGATAAAATGGTATTAAGAGCCATGTGGCCTTATCAAGTGAGGTGGCCACTCATTAATTCAGATAACAGAGTCACTATTGTAAGCTTTTGCGTATGCTATTGTCCATATTTGCATATTCATATTGAGATAATATCATTTCAGTAATTTTGTATGTTAATCTTTCAAATAATAATTCTGAAATCTTATACAGGATATATTTAACCTAATTACCATGTGCACGATATCTTCATATATATTTAATCAGTTTACAAGAAATGAACCTTCCAATACAATATGCTCTTGCAACAAATCAACTGTACACACATATGAAATTGTCGTATGTAACACATATGAATTAATTGAATGAAGAAGATACCTTTACTGTGTAATTTACAGAACACACTTTATCCTATAACATGCTAAATTTATGCTCTATATTTTTTCTTTTTATTCCAATAGGGTGGGCTTTGGGTCAAAATTCTTTTCATCTTCACAGATAGATGGATGGATTGTTAAATATGATGATTTATGTGACTTAATAGCTTTCTACAAGGCGGAGGAAAGAGGATCAAAATTTTGAACTCAGCTTAGACATAGGGCATGTGGGTATTTAGTGAAAATATCTCTGCCTCTCTCTCTGAGGGAGGAAGAGAGAGAGAGAGAGAGAGAGAGAGAGAGAGAGAGAGAGAACATGAGGCAGAGACAGGCAGAGACAGAAGCAGAGAGGCAGAGAGGCACAGAGGGGTAGATATCACTGAGCCGAGATGGGGCCTGGGGACAACTCCTTATGAAGACCCTGGTGACAATTACCGGTACTCAAAGGTGCGTCCCACAATGTTTTGGAACATACATTTCAAAGCAAATTTTATTAACTTTCAGACTGAAGTCTGATATTCCAGTTTTACTCTCATTGTGCTCACTGTATGTATTCAGTATTTCTTTTCTGATTATTTGAGTACTTTTCCGTATCTTTCTGCTTGTAAGTTTTGATTTTAATATTTTCAGTTCTCTAAATGTATAGATTTCCAATTTTAAATTTTGTGAAATTATGTGATGTCCCTCAAATAAACAAATTCAATTAATTTTGAAAACTAAAATGAAAGTAGAAACCTTTACTAAAATTCAGAATAAGCAGACTACATTAGGCTTATTTAAAACTTTTGTCAGTTTCATGTATTTTAAAACTCCATTGGATGATGGAGACCAAGGCACAAAGTACATGTCATATTGTCTAGGTTTCTGTTTTTAAGAAGAAGCCTTGTTATGAAAATGATTTGATTTTTATAAATTTGACTGTGATTAAAGCATAGAAATAATATTCAGAGTAAAATAGTCTTAAATTTCCACAGGTGCCATCTTCAAGGTTTAATCTTGAATTGTATAAATGCCAAATTAAATTAATAAATATAGATTCGTTCCCACACTGAATGTCATACCAAAATTGTTATTTGCATTATGACCGTAAAGGCTGTATTTTCAATTTGATTGACTTGAGCGCTACCTCCTGGACTAGCAAGGCCCATTCCTGTGCATGTGGGGGCAGCTTGGGAGACGTGGCCTTCGATGCAGCCTGTGTTTACGGATGCCTTTCTCTCTGGTGCTCTTGCTCTATGCTAGTGCCTCGGATCCCCAGAACCATCAAGCCTGGCTTCACTATGCCTTCTGCGGTGATATTTCTGCCCTGAAGGGAGCCAATCATGGGTGAAACCCAATAGGTTTGGTATTAAGCATGGCTTAAGGAGATGTTTTGTGATGTCAAGCTGAAAAGAGATGGGATGTAACCTCAAGCTGGATTGTCATCCTCATTGGCTTGTGAGCTCCATAAGGTGCTTTAATAAAACACACACGTTCCAGATGGGTCACGGAAATGTGACTTGGGAATGCACACCTGGCACCAGCCCCTTTCTGCTGTGCTGCTCTGCAGTTCTGCCCCTGGCTGCAAGAACTGAGCCACGTTGCTCCGCCATGACCTCCCATGCAAGTCTTGCTATGGCGCCAGCTAATCACGAACTACAAACCATACAAGCCTCTTTACCCCAAAGCCTTAATGAGAGAAAACCTACAAAATCAAAAGCTAAAGAGATTCCTCCTCCAAGATGGGCACACTAAGTGCTTTGTTTTTGTCTTCTAGTGCAAATAAGTTGTACTTCAGAAGGGTCCTTGTTTAACCTGTACCCATCCCTGCAGCTCAGAAGCTTTCAGAACAGGAGTTTGGAAAGATTCAGAGATACAAGCAAGGAAGCCGGAGAACGCTGAAAGTAGAGACTGATGGGTTTTTCTTTCCGGGACTCAGAGTACCAGAATCCTGACAGGAATGTGGACAGGGAAGCCAGGCCTAGTAGGTTTTATTTATTTATTTTTTTTATTTTTTATTTTTATTTTTTTTGCTTCCTCAAATGCCTTCAGGGCACTTGTGGTCAGCGGGAGAGTTGTGAGGTTCGAACTCCAGCAACCTGAGGCTGACAGCTTTGTGGAAGCAGCTACTTAAAGGACTGAGCTAGGGCCAGGCCCCCCCCCCCCCCTTTTTTTTTTTTTTTTGCAGAACCAGGGATTGAACTCAGGCCCTTGCACTTGCCAGAGAAGCGCTTATTCCACTGAGCCATCTCCCTGCCCCCCCTAGTAGGTTTTAGAAAAAGGATTCTATTTGGAATTGGAGAAGAGATTGTGCATGTAACACTCTGGCAAAGATGTCAGCAATTTGTCCTGAGACATTATAAAAGGTTGAGTGTAACAGGTAGGGACTAAATAATGTGAAAGAGAAAATTTCAAGCCAGCCAACATTTTGTCTGTGGCATAGGTACTACAGTATGATTTTAGCCAGATGTATAATGAAAATTGGGAATAAAAAGCAAAGCAGGAGCATTTGAAAAATCTTTTCACCCCAAATTAACTGAGTGTAAAATTGGGGCCAAGCAAAATATGGCCATGGAGGAGGTTAGTATTCTTAAAAAGATACCAGGTACTTTGGTGACAAGAAGAAAGATGCTCTCAGGACATCTCAGAAGTCAGCATGACTTGAACTGTTCACCTATCACAGGCTCAAGATTGTAAAGGTGCACAAGTTTCATTCATTTCATTTGAGAAGAGTTCTGTCTTTTTACCACCTCCAGGTGTGTTGCCAAAACACACTGGATCCACAGGATTGATTTCCTGGTACGCAGGCATTCAGGCGCTTAGAAGCCACTCAGCTATGGTCCAATGGGGGCTTGACAAGTCTTTATACGTGTAACAGTCCTGAGTATCCTCCAGGTGATGCTAATTTTACTGCAATGCAGAACACAAAAGTTGTGCAGTCAGAGAGGTTTCCAACAAGATTTCTGATAAAGCCTGGAAGGCCAGGCAACTAAAGAATCTAAGAAAAGAAAGTGCAG